GAAACCAGGGGTCGCCATGACTACAACACAGATATAGACATTTTATTTACTATCCAAAACCACCAGTGAACCTACACGAGTCTACTGAGCTCTGATATGGAAGGTTGATGATGGTAAAATAGTGGAAAATCTGAAAAAATAAGTTTTCTTTGGGGACTATTTTGCCTAACAACACCCTGCATGCATCCCTCCGCCATGAATAGATTTAAAACTACATTTTTACTAAGATTCCTGAAGGAGAGCAGTCTTGTGTCAAAATACACCATGTTTCCTACATTGTAGTTTACTTCTGTCTCTGGCATCACACATGTAAGTCTTCAGTATTACATGTAAATTCAGCAGAGTGACTTACAAACTGTGAAAACAAACCTGTAATAGAACTGTAATCTAAAATAAAAGTCCCATTATAGCTTGATCTAGTCAAATACAACTGTAATCCACGAAGACAAGTACAGACGTATCAATTTACTAAGGAGCATTACATCTAAATGTTAATGGTAGAACATATTAAATGTAGTGGATCTGTGTTGTTCTAGATTTTGTCTAGTAAGTCAGGTTTTTAGGCCATGGCAGATGAAACAGAGAGACTAGGCAGCTGTGATGGTTTCATAAGACTCATGAAATGTTATTCTGCCGGGAAAACATTAAAACATAACTTCCTTGTATCAATCCATTTAGAGTCTTTTAATAGAGTATTACTGCATAAACTAAGCATATTACTGTACATTATGGTTTTATGTTTTTATGCTGCTACCTGTTTATATTAATAAAGTTAACTGTTTAGACCTTTATTGTTTATAACTCTACTGTTATAGCTGACTGTAACCTCTCTTAACTAGGTGTGCACACTGTAAAGAAGAGTCAGTGACCAGCTTTACTGTTCAGAGTCTGTTTAGTACTTTAAAACACCGACTTTATACGGTGAAACTTTCATTCAACTTTAGCTGCTTCCTTCTAGTATCTGTGACTGCAGCATGGAAACTATAGAGGATGGGAGATCGAAACCAAGCATGCTGTACAATTTTACCATGAACTGTGAGTAACAGTGGGTGTGTTCACGTGCACTCAATAATCCGATAACTGCAGAAAATCAGATTTTGTCAGTAATTCACATTCATCAGTTTACATGCTCTTGAGTAATCAGATAATGGGGAAACTCCAGGTCTACAGGAGTCAGACAGTAATCAGATTTCTGCTTTACAACCAGCCAATAAACTCAGAAGAAGACGTGATGTAAACGTAACATAAAACTCAAACTTCGTATTTAAATTCTTTATTCGTGTTTTGTTTCAGCGCCTCTCCAAAAGTGTTTTACTGCGTCTCGCGACATCCACCATCTGTTTTCACACATGTGCAGACAGAGAAATCCGAAAGAAATCAGAAATCAGAAATCTTTATCAGATTTCTTAATCAGATTTCTAGATCAGAGTATGGTGTTTACATGATCATTTAAATAATCGGATAACTGCAGAAAGTTTTAAGTTTTAAGTACTTGCTGATACTGACTGTGGTACCAAACTGTATAACCGATGGAACGAAGTAGTTGTTATTGTAAATAAGTGCAATGTACCTAAACAGCTACATAATTAAAATCTATCTGTTTAAATGAAGTGCATTAGCTAGCTATGCTAACTTATCTACCTTGGATCGTGTATTGCTGCAGTGAAGAACAGCAGGTTTTATTTCATGTCAGAAAATCGCTTCTGTGCAGCTGCAAGTAAAGTACGTTTCACAGTTTTGTCTCTGTCAACAACACCATCCGTAGCTCAGCAACAGCAAGAATAACATCTGAGGTTAACGCATCAGAGGAGCTCACATGTCCAGTTTTTACTTTGTCTTTTGTTTGGCTGGTTAAGCTGTAGTTGAACGTCTTCTAAAGCCAGACAGTGTTTGCGAGACACACTGACAGTGATTTCCATAGTTTTTTCTTAAATGTGTTCTTGAAAAAGGTCCCAAGAAAAAGTCTACATCAGATTCATGTCGTGTTCTTAAAGCGCAGAACTGTTCTCACGTTTGTGCTCTTGAGTGTGTGATTCAAGATTCTTACCTAAGAACAAACCCCAAATACGGAAACACTGGCGAATGTCAGAATGTTAGAGGTGCTTTGGGACGGCCTGTCTGGATCATGACCTTCAGCAACATTCAAAATGCTTTGGAGAGGTCAACTTATGCATAAGGGAAGTTCAGCAAGAATACAGAGTTGTATGAAAAAGTTTTGGCACCCCTTGTCAAATGACATGTAATTGTAGATATTCTGAGTGTTAATAAGTTAACACACCCACTACAGAGAACACACTTCTGCAAATTATAATGCACAATCAAGGGGGACGACTTCAACATTCTCAGTTACACAGAGACTATTTGGACGAGACAAACCAATTTTTTTAATTAAACTTGCATCCGTCTGATAATTAGGTAAACCATTTAAAGATGATTACATGTGACATATCAAACGGAAGAATGTATCGCAGCATTTGGGCTCTCACAGCCAGACTGGGCA